ATATCTTTGCTTTTTGGCTCTATATACAGCTTCTTTATTTATTTGGCTCCTGTCTGACCCTGTTTGACCTTTTTCTTAATTTTCTGAGGTCTTCTTTTTATTTGAGCCAAGTCTCATCACTGGTGGACTTTGGGTATGTCAGACCCAGATTTAAGAGAAGAAAAAAAAAATAGATGAAAATAATCAGACAGTGATGTCAACTATATGTGGGGTTCTGGTTTGGTTTGGATTGGGATCCAGCAAAGGTTGGGTATAGTAATTCTGTCATCAAAAAAAGCACAATATCTTTACTTGTTGTCTCTATATACAGCTTCTTCCTTTAGTTGGCTCTTGTCTGACCCTGCTTGACTTTCTTTTTTAATTTTCTGAAGTCTTCTTTGAGCTAAGTCTCATCACTGATGGAATTGGGGTATGTCATGCCACTCATACCTCATACCCAAATCCCCCCCCCCAAATAATCAGACTATGTGGGGTTCTGGTTTGGTTTGGATTGGGATACAGCAAAGGTTGGATTAAAGTGATTTTCCTAACCCAAAGACTTGTCTCTATACATTTGCATGCATCATGCAAAATTGGATCCAGCTTCCCCCTCCATTTGCCTTGTGTTTGACCCTGTTTCCAATTTCTCATTTTTTACAAATTTTTAAAGTACCCAAGTACCACATGCACCTTTTTTCCAAAATTTCAGAAGAAAAAAAGTGGCGAGCATCATAAGCGGGTACAAAATTTTCAAGAAGTTTTAGGAAGTTATGTGTGCAAAATACTTAATTATAATGGAGAAATTTGGAACAAATATAACAATAAGAAAACATTTTAGTTGAAAATTGATCAGATTTTTGTTCAATTCATGCCTGAAGTCAAAATTTTTGTGTTTATTTTTGAAATTGTATGGTTTTAGATTCACTAAAAATTGGGGTGCATGTCTTACTCAGAGATAAGATTTTTTCAAAATTTTCAACTGAAAAACCCTTGTGCGCACCTTACTCAAGGGCGCGTGGTACTTGAGTAAATACGGTAACATTTTAAAAAGAAATTATCATCTGACATATGGTGAATGCACAGTATTAAACTCATAAAATTTGAAAACTGACTTTAATTGACCTTTATCCACTGTACAACCCCAAAACAATGGACCTCCTGCACAATGGATTTTTGCACAATGGACATCCTCTGGAGGTGGTTTTTCCTCCTGCATATAATGGACTATATCTGCGTAATAGACTTCTGTTGGTTTAAACTTAGTGGTAAGAAGTAAACATTTTAATTTTTTGATAATTGCATTTTCATAACAGACTTTTCACATGGCAGGCTAGTCTGTTGCACAAATTAAGTCTGTTGCATGGGGTTGATTGTATATGTGAGATTGAAATGTTTAGACTAAAATTAGTCCACTCAATCAAATGCTTGAATCCAATCAAAGCTAAATATAGTCTTTTTCTTGCAATGTTTGATTCACTATAAGAAAATGTATTGACATTACAGTATTGTACAAATTGGTTGTGCAAAACTCTGAGTAAACTGCCAATGCCTGAAGAGTTTCCTAGCTAAAGGAAAGTCTTCTGATTTGAACAAAAAAATGAGGCCTGTGCAGCTGTGAGACTCATCTCATTTCTGTTTCAGTAAATTGAGGAGAAAGTGGAAATGCGTCATGCATGTGAGATTTGCATGCAAATAATTGGAACAGTTTCATGGAGAATTATTAACACTTGAGGCAAGTCAAGTTTGAAAGATTTATCTTGCAATTATTCCCTTCTGCATTCAGTTGCATGAAATGGCTTTTCCTCACTTATTCTTAAACCAATTTTTCTCTTTCAGATTGCTTTGCTATTTTCAAGCAAAATTCTGTAGAAATGCAATATAAGGAACTGCTCGAACGTTTTCAAGTACTGTGCCTACAATTGGTTTCGGGTATTCTGAAATTATCAAGTAAGAATCCTCGAAATGAATGATATAAATAATTACACCATGCTTTTCTTCACACACCAAGATTTTTCTCCAATTTCAGCCCTCAATTGGTAGATCCGGAATCCGACTTTTGAACCAACAGTGCATGAAATATGAATTTGAGTTGCTCATAAATCCATCGCACTTTTAAAACTCTCGGTTTCTAGAAGATTTTCCAGTAAAAAAAATTGAAAGAGGGTTTATACGTCTGTTGTGGTTCAATTCTTGAGGAAAGCCAAAAATTTTTCTATGTTCACTGAAGTTTATTTTCCTCTCACACAAAGCATTTAAAAAATTGATTTTACAAAAATATATTATTTATCTTTTTTTATTGAAAATAAGGAATTTTAGTGATCCTGCCAAATATTAATTAGTTTGCTTGAAAGAATATGAACAATTTTCATAATTTTGATGGACGAAGCTATTTTTCACTGACTTTGATTTTGACTGACTTATTGAAGAACCCAGAAATGCCAAAATCTTTAATGAATGAATGAATGAATGAACAGAACACTTTATTTGCCGCTTTTCAGCGTTCATGTTCACAAGGTTCAATCAAGATTTCCACATCCAAACCCCCTCCCCACCCAACCCAAATCCACTCAAAGACATTTAATCTTTAATGAATGCTTTAATGAATCACTTCAGAGCAGGAAACAGAGCACAAATGGATGACAAAAATAAAAGAAAATACAATCCACAAAATACATCTTTAATATATCATTCTTATTTAACATACTAGGAAATCAATAAATTGAATAAACCCTGTTGCAGTTCTCCCAGTTATCAAATGATTATTTTAAATAATTATGAGAAATTATAAATCATCAACTGCAATAAATTTTTTTTATTTTTATAATTGTTGCATGATATTCAAAATTTCTATCCCCCAACCCCAGAATTGAGACCAAAATGTGGGAAGCACATATAATACCAGAGGACAAAACTTTCATATTAAAACCACATTCTTTTTTCCTTGCATCCTTTTTGTTTTTTTTTTAGCTCCACGTCGACTTTGTTTGTGGAATTGAGAAAGTTAAACGTCCCCCGCAGTGAAAGTATACCTCGTCGTTTTGTTGATGATAAAACCACGCATCGTCAACATCAGCGCTCGCCATCAGCAGCAAACTAGGTTAACCTCACCGGGTATTTATCCATCTGGAAACAAACTTTGTACCACCAATTTATCTTCTTCCTCTTCTTTACCATCATCATCATCATCACCATCATTGCAGAAAAAAATGAAACAAGCTTGCAGAAGCTCACTTTTCCTTTTTTAGTGCTAAAAAGTTTTTTTTTTTGCTCTTGCAAACGTTTTTTAAACTAGGAAGGCAATATACTTGGTTCATCATTCAAGAAAATTTCTGAAAAAAGGAATTTCCTGCAAGCTTTTGTTCTGAAAATCTATACAATGCAAATGTTTATTGGATTTCCTCAAAAAGGAAAATCTTTCTATATAACAAAGTCATGTATAATAGGGACAATGATCGAAAAAAGCTTTGGCATAAGAAATTAATTAACCAAAAAAAGGTCAAAGAAATCAATGCACTAGATATACTTTTTTGGCTGTACTGTGAAAATAACTGAGAGTCTTCAACCATTATTTCATTGTATACAATGGAACGGATGAATTAAAAAATTACTTTCAATGGAAGAAATATGCTGATGAACAACATCAAAGTCTCTCAAGTGTAATTCCCTTTCAGTATGGAGAACAATTGAATGTGAAAGGGTAATAAAACAAACAAATTAAAATAAACTGGCTCAGTATAAGTGGGTCCATATACTCATCTTTACCAAGTGGTCAATTCGAACCATGACGAGGTGCCCATGTATAGGAACATATTGATCTAATGAGGAAACACTTTCTCCTGCCTCGTCATCATGATGCCCAAAATAAAATAATTGATTAATTAATATAGAGAAACTCACGTCTGGCTCCAGCCTCATTCAATCATTTCAATTTTCCACGAAAGGGGCTTTTCTAAATTCCGGCAATTTTTCCCGCTCGGGTTAAAATGAGCAGCAAAGAAACTTGTTGCAAAAATCTCATTGCAGTGAAACCATTGGTCAAATGAAAAAAAAGCATTATAAAACAAAACAGTTTTAAAATACAGAAACTGTAAAATAGTTTATGGCTGATGTACTGGAGCAGGGACCTGAAAAACGAATTTATTGGAAAAAATTATATTTGTTGCATTGATATTCATTCCTTCTATAGTGTATGAAACTTATTATTGTTTCAATTTAAGTTACTCTCAAGGTCCCCAATATGGACTCTATTTTATCTTATTCTAGGAATAAAAAAATGAATTGCATCTTAATCTTGTTAAAGCAATTATTGCTGATAAAAAGGCTGAAATTTAGTCACAATCTTTGAATTCATTTTTGAAAATAATTTTATGAGAACAGTTTTCTTCAGGACCATAATAAGAAGCTTTTCATGTACCTGTCAATTTTTTTCATTGCACATGTGAAACCTCCTGTTCTTTTTAAAATTTTTATTATTATAACAAGATGTGCTAAAGGTCCAATCCCTCCAAATCTTTAGTGATTTATGAATTTTTTCTTGCAATTTTTAAAGAGAGAAATTTCAAGTTAATATTCACATCTCACAGTTATTGGGTAAAAAAAGTGCTCTTCATAAGAAAAGCACAATCCTGAACCAATTTCTTGAACATTTTGAATATACTTCATTAAAAACACAAAATTTGATCATGGTGACCATCAGTTATGAATGAATGAACAGAACACTTTATTTGCCGCTTTTCAGTGTTCACAAGGTTCAATAGAGATTTCCACAACCAAAACCCCTTCCCACCCAACCCAAATCCACTCAATGACATTTAATCACTTATTCAGAGCAGGAAACAGAGCAAAAATTGATAACAAAAATTAAAGAAAATGCAATCCATGAAATACAACTGGACATCTGACATGTATGCATATGTATGCGCTAACTGTGATGTTTCCAACTTTGCTGCAGCTGAACTACCGTACTTTTTATTGCTTGCAATGCGGAATGGCATCATATTTTATTTTATTTTTGTGTGTGTGAAAAAGGTGCGAGGAGGAATGGAAGCAGCCGTGGCAGCAAACCGGACGCTGTACGGCAAGGACCTCAGTGCCTACGACGATCTCGACGTCGACGAGATTTTGGCGCAGATGAGCCCGGAAGAGATCGACATCCTTGCCAAGGAAGTGGCGAAACCGGATCCTGACGTGAGTGAATTGCAGTACAGTACTTCCTCGTTTCCCGAATTAATCATCAAATACATGAGGGCCTTGCTTTTGGCGTACATGTACACTCCTTCCATTACAATGAAATGTACAGTAAGGTATTTGAGAACCGCGTCCGAATTTTCCATACGCACCGATGCATTACTCATGATAATGCTCAGATTGCCTTGGCTAGTCCTTAATTTTTTATTTTTATAATAAAAAAAATCATGCGTACCGATGCATTACTCATGTTAATGCTCATATTTCCTGGGCTCGTCCTTAATTTTTATTTTGCAATTTAAAAAAAATTTCCGGAGATTAGGAAGTATACCGAAAACATTTTTTGTATTTTTTTTTACAATTTCTCGAGCCAATCAGCGTGCCTCAAAATAAGGCATCACCACCGAAAAACCTTCTGCATTTTCCAAGGAATGAAAATCTGCATATAATGTCTGTAAAATGGAAAATAATTCGCGTCGGAAAATCGATCAATATTTATTTTTTGCTGTCATGTTTGTGTGTGGTTTGATTTTTGTGTTTAATTGGGACTTGAATCGAAAGTTCGGAAGTGTTCAAATTTTTGTGGATGAAAGCTTTTTTCAGGCAGTGTATTGTTTTCCTCGTTTACTTTGCCGAGCCAATAATCCCTATTTTCAAGACATCTTTTATCGAAGAAATTTGAAACTGGAAATGAGAGCCAATCCAACTGCTGACGACACCCCATTAGAAGACCAACAAATAAAGAATGAAAATCTATCTAAAATCGTGAACCTGCGATCAAAAAGTGAAATAATTTCGTGAAGTCTTCACATGCCTTTCTTTAAATAACGCAGGATTCAAAATATCGTAACAATTCAACCATATATTTACAAATGAATAATTAGATTAAAACCTTTCTCAGACGACCTGGACATCGCTTTCCCGCAGAGGTTTCTCATGGAGAAATAATTACAAATATCATCCGAAGATTCTTAGAATTCCACCAACTCTTATAGAATACAGCAAAATAATTTGAAGAACAAGAAAACCTACGGTATTTACTGTGCATATACTGGATAGCGTCAAAAATGCTTTAAAACACCTGCAAATATATATTTTGCTGGGGAATGTGTTTGTCACAGGAATTGATTGTAATGTCACGCAGTCCGTTATGCGGAACATATGGTCTGCTGTACGATGCAAAAATTGGTGGCAGCACGAGTCAATTGAAAACAAAAGAAATCTGTTCTGCGAAGTGTCGCTCCACTCGCCACTGAATTCAACAGCAGATATTATATTATTCGAATTATGATTAAATTTGTCCAAATTTAGTTCAATAATTACAGAAAAATAGGCGATGTTTTCACAACCTCGTGATTTCAAGTTTGATTACTCTATTTCCTCAATATTCGTCTGCCGATAATTCAAGACTCGTGGTAATAACGATTATACAATTTAAATTCCCTCGATATTTTCTTTCAGAGTTTTGAAAATTTGATACATATTTGATTATTATATCGTTCTGCCATCTTGGATTACTCAAATTTTCGGCAGATATACCTTCGTCAGCCTTCGAGAATCCTTATAGAATTATTTATTTCCCGCATCTAAATTTTCAACGCAGCGTGGACAAGTCGATTCTAATTTTGATTTTTTCCAGTTATTCTCATATATCTGAAGTTTTGACCACGCTTATTAATTTTTAGGCTCTAATGAGTATTTTAGATAAAATAATGATATACAGTACTGAACTCTTTGTTAACGAGAAAAATGTATCCTCGTACAAAAAAAAATCAAAATTCTTCAATTTTCCATGTGACATGTATTCCGCAGGATCGACTGCTTCCTCCGAATCAGCGCTGCGCGTACGTGTGCGAAAAAACCCCGAGTGGTCCCCTGGACAGGAAGCAACTCATAGAGCACATCAACAAGGAATCCCGAGAGGCCCCGGATGTCCCGGAAATGGTACCCTACGAAGCTGGTACCGTTCGTGGCAAGCGGTACATTGCGCCTCCCCCGCCCGTGACGCAACACGAGGAGGACATCCGCATCAGTTTGGAGAATGAGTACGAAGAAGCCTTGTCCAAGGCCAGTGTGGACGACATCGTCGACCTGGCAGGTTTGCAATTTCCCCCATCTGCTTCACGCTGATACTGTAATCCTAAAATAGAATAAAGAACCGAGCAAAAAAGGTCGTTTTCGACGCATATCTTTAATGCATATTTTACGCAAGTACCACCGGTACCACCATGCGCGTCGTTTTCTGATTCATCAAACTGAAGCAGAAAAGTTGCATGGTACGTTTGTTATTTATTTTTTATTTTTTATTGAAAAACTAAATCAGGAAATGAAAAAGATCATATAGTCTTCAATAATCTTTGTGAGAATAGGTGTGAGGAATAAATTAAATGAGAGTAATTTTTACAATAAAACACAACAATCAGCCAAGCTGCGGCCAGGGTCAATAACACCCTAGTTTAACATTGTTATATTTTGAATAAAACTCACAAGTCCAAATTTCCGCAATTTGATGAAAAACAAGCTCTGCTACCACTTTTTGTGAGGAATAAATTAAATCAGAATAATTTTTACAATAAAACACAAGAATCAGCCAAGCGGCGGCTGGAGTGAATAACACCCTAGTTTAACGTTGTTATATTTCAAATAAAACACACAAGTCCAAATTTCCACAATTTGATGAAAAACACACAACACCCAAAGTTGCTCATATGATAGACACTGTTGCAATGCCCAAAAAATAGTTACTTTACTAAACAGGAAAACTTTGTGGAAGGTTGGTCAGAGATGACCCTTCATAGATAAGGGGAATAGCAGAAAAGATTTGACCTTGGAGGTCAGAAAGGAATTTCTCTTTGAGGAGAAGGCTATGAGAGTTTTGGTGGCCTCAGGTTCTCACAGGATTTTATTGAAGTTTGGCGCCAGCCAAACTCATCCTTGGTTTTGCACAAGTTCCAGGATTTTACCCGTCTTGCATTTTTTTGTGATAACAGGCATTCTCACACCTGTTCTCAAACATCCTGGGCTTACTGACTAAAATTTTAGAAACTCAAAGGTCATCTTCTAAAAAACTTTCACTAATCCTTATTGAAGGATCGTTTTCCTGATTTATTTCTAAACTCTGTTTTTCATCATTCCGTTTTTCACTCTTGCGTGTATCACTCAAAAAGGGTTGCGAGAATTGAAAGTGTGTTTTGCTAAAAAAAAAAAAGAAGACTGAATTACACCAACTTTAGAATAGGGTGAAATCACCCTGTTTGTAGCCTGAAGGGGTGTAGGACAATTCCCCCACCTCTATTTCCCCCAAATAATAATCCCCAATTTTAAAATCCCTGGTCACAAAAATCCCCGAAATTAAAATGCCCAATTTTTAAAATCCCCTAGTGTTATTTTCCCCAATTTTAATTTCCCTGCTTTTTGTTGAAATCCCCCATAATAAAAATCCCCGATGTACAATTTTCCCCAAGAATAAAAAAACTGATGGTTGGACAATTGTTTTTCTTATTTCTGAGTGACAAAAATTGAATTCAACAAGTATAATTGAATAACAATTAAAATAACGTAAAAATGAAAAAACATGAAATTTGAAAAAAGAAACAAAAAAGAAAAAATTGAAAAAAAACAAAAAATGTAAAAAAGCCGCATCAGCAATCAAAAAAATTATTAATTGTATCTCAATTTCACTGCTTTAGCTGTTTCCTTCAAACGTTTTTCCAGACTAATTTCGTGCCTGTTGAACAATTGACACAGATTCTTCAGGTTGGCATCCCTCTTCTTCTGCTCACCTCAGGGTAGAAAAAGGGATTTGAGGATGAAGTTGGGGAAAATCCATTTTTTTTTCTTTTTGCATAGAACAATTTCATGGGAAAATGAAAGAAATCCTATGCTAAGCAATGGTCAATGGGCTTTTTCTTGGATTAATCCCAACTTTGCCTCAGCCCACCTGGAAGGTCTTTTCTGACCTTCAGAAAACTTAAAACACCACAGCATACAAAAATAATCGAATTTTGGCCAAATTTTTTTCCCTTTTGGTGATATTTTGTATATTTGGGGATTTTGCATTTTCGGGGATTTTAGAAAATGGGGATTTTTATTTTGGGGCAATTAGACACCGGGGGGAATAAACGTTGGGGATTTTAAAAATCGGGGATTTTAGGATCGGGGATTTTAGAGCGGGGGGAATAGAGGTGGGGGAATTAGAATTGGGGGAATTGTCTGTTTCCCAGCCTGACGACCAAATTCTTGAGTTTTATTCCAAAATATTTAATTCTATTAAATTCTCCACATTGGTTATGATGGTATGCAGTAATTTTATTTCTGCCATTTTTAATTTATTTTGGCTGCTGCTGCGCTTCATATATGTTGGGGAATGACACACACGCACATGCCAAATAATGCTAAGATTAAATTATTAAAAACTAAAAAAACCCAGCAACACAATAGAACAACTTCTCAAAGATCACCACTTTTCAAGGAAAATGCCACCACCTTAAAAACAATGAAAACCAGACCTGATTTCTGCGGTACCCAACCAAAAGCCCCCCCTGCCAAAAGCCCCCCATAGGTCAAAAGCCCCCCAGAAAGCCCCCCCTGCCTAAAGTCCCCCTAGGTCAAAAGCCCCCCTGCCAAAAGCCCCCCCCCTAACTTTTTTTTCAAATCGGATGCAAGTTTCTCCTCAATCATGACGTATACTTTCATTCTTGACTATCACTGACAAATAGTTCACAGACAACACACATACATTGATTGCGTTTAGACATTGAGTGAGTTTAGCAATCATGACATATACGAGAATAAATCAACGGATTCCACCTGATTACTTCTCCAAGTTTTTTGTCACAATATTTTGAATTCAATCTTTGTTTCAAAATTTGAAAACTACAAGCATGAACATATACGTTCATTCTTGACTATCACTGACGAATAGGTCACAGACAAAACAAATACATTGATTGCGTCACAACAATAAGAGTTTAGACAGAAGTCAGTGCATCAAAAGTCGGATAGAATTTGGTTTCAGCCCTCTTGGTGCAGAAATTGTGGATTTGCATTCTTAACCATAACTGCACCTTTCACCAGCATGAAAGGGGCTGGTGAAAGGTGAAAGCCACTGGTGGGCAAGCGCCAATATGTTCCTAAGTTGAGAATATAAAGGGATTCTTCCCTTGCAGTGGTCATCAGTGATTCTTTGAATGTCAAAGCATAATCACTTGCTGATTTCTGCAAAACCTACAGTTCACCTAGTTGATACAATGGCTGGTGCACTTTGGATCATCAAAAATCAGAAGGGCGGTCAAAAGGCATACTACAATGGCTATTTATTCATGGTTAAGAATGCAAAAGCCAGTACTAGATGCTGGGAAAATGTGCTAACTGGAAGAGATATGCTTGTAAAGGAGCCTTAGTGACTGATCTGGATGATGAAGAAGTTCTGAAGGCAACAGCGCACAATCACCAGGCTAATGAAACCAAACTCTATCCAACTTTTGATGCAATGACTTCTGTCTAAACTCTTATTGTTTTGACGCAATCAATGTATTTGTGTTGTCTGCGAAATATTTGTCAGTGATAGTCAAGAATGAACGTATACGTTGTGATTGAGGAGAAACTTGCATCTGATTTTTAAAAAAAGTTAGGGCAGGCTTTTGGCAGGGGGGGCTTTTGACCTAGGGGGGCTTTAGGCAGGGAAGGGCTTTCTGGGGGGGGGGGGGCTTTTGACCTAGGGGGGGCTTTTGGACTGCACCCGATTTCCGCTGCTCCCAAAGTTTTCCAAATTTACCAAAGAAAGGAAGCCATTTGCAATCAAACTTTTGGCTTGTGAACTACTGTACTGTGAAATCTACAAAATTGTGTTTGTGGAAGAGTTCTGTTGAGTTGTTGTGTTATATAAAAATTTATCTTGCGTGTCAAATCTTTGTGGGACAAAATTTCAAAATACATTTATTCAATTTGAAATTGGAAATCCAAAAAGGATTCCCGGCCTCGTCCCAGGCTGATTCTGTTTTTTATTTCCCAATTTCAAAACCTTTTCAAACTTTACTTTATATCCATCAATTTCTGATCCACAAGTGACTTTATTCACATTTATGTTAAAGTAAGTTATTCTTTATCACAAAATATAGCCATCTTGGGATTCCACTCCATGATGAACCAAGACCAGTACCACGCATCGCTGCTGAACCTGGGCCAGCCCCTGGGCCTGGGCTGGGACGGCATCACCAAGGCCAGTCGATGCAAGCCCGTGCGCCCAGAGCCGCCCAACACCACGGACGTGGAAGACTCGATCCGGCGCCTGGCCAACGACGACTCCTCCCTCCGCGACCTCAACTGGAACAACATCAAGGGCGTGTCGAGCGAACAGTTCCGGCGCCTCTTCGCCGCCCTGGCCACGAACACGCGCCTGGAAATGCTGTCCCTGGCCAACACGGACCTGACGGATCGGACGACTCGCCACGGCGGGCTCATCGAGGCCCTGCAGAGCAATTCCTCGCTCCGGGTGCTCAATTTGGAGAGCAACTTTTTGTCGCCGGCGCTCCTGCGCGATCTCATCAAGGCTCTGCTGGTGCAGAAGACGCTCGAGGAATTCCGGGCGGCGAATCAGGTATTATACTGTGCTGTACTTCTGTGCGCTGCTGTATGTGCGTGAGAAATCTCGTCGGTACAGCAGTCGTCGAAATATTAAGAAGCGTCATCGAAAAAAAAAAAAAACCAAGTTCATCATCATAGTCTATACAGGGGTCTATATATATACGAGGGTTCTATACCAAAAGTTCTCGGAAAAGAAAATGAAAATGGCGTAAAATCGAGCTGAAAAAAATTATTCTTCCAGAAAAAACATATTCTTTGGCACACCAAAAAAATCATCCCTGTTTGACACATTTTTTTAAAAGCCTTGCAAAGTTAACCCTGGCAGAGTTTTGTTCTCATCCATCCATAAAACATATACATCAATCATATCCCCAGACGAATATTGAGACTTTCAGTTTCTACTATTGGTGTGCAGTACTGTACTTCTTTGCTGTACGTGTGAAATCTTGGTACAGCAATTGTCTAAATACAGTGAGACCCCCACATGTAGACACCTTGACCTGCGGACAATTTGACACAGGGACACTTATTTTCCCATAAAGATTAATGAAAAAGGCACAACATGAGGACACCGACTCGGCATAGGGACATTTTGTGATAAAATTGCAAATAAGTTTCAGGCCAAATTACAAGAAACAGATATTTCTAACCCTAAAATTGATGTAAGAAAAGTTATTAGGCATTTCTCTCACCAATTTACCATCCATTTAGCTAATTTTAAAAAAATTACCTCCAGCATAGATGGACTTCCTTCTCTCTTTCACTTGAATGTTATTTTTACAGAGAATTCCAACATTTCTATGTACTGTGCAGAGGTATCAGTATTCAATTCCCCAAATGTCCATTTTGTGTTGAAATATATTGATTGAATCAGTTAAAATTGGGAGAACATGATTATTTTCATTGAATTATGGTGTGTATTTTGGGCATAAAATACCAATTAAAAATTATATAATGTGAGTCTAATAAGGGAAACTGAGACTCAACTTAGGGACATTTTGACTTAGGGACACTCTTGATGCACCAATTGCGTCTGCATCTTGGGGTCTAACTGCTGTAATAAGCATCATCAAAAAAGAAAAGAACCAAGTTCATCATCATAAAGGGGGTCTATATACAGATAGACCCTGATGAAAAAGATAGTTTAATGGAAAAATTACAGATATTTCACAAGGACAGAGTTCATTTTATTTTATTCAGACTCGCTGCAATCTTAGTATATGAGGCACTTTTTCGTAAGGGTCGCCTGAATCTTGATGATTTAGTTCTTCAGATCTTTTTTGAAAGAGACTCAACAAAGAAAAGTCTTTAGTGGTGAAATCTCGCTACAACAAACTTCCACAAAAAATAAAGCCCTGAAGGAAAATAAGTCATCAAAATCAAATTTTGAAGTTGTGCAATATTCGTTACTGGAATCTATAAAAAATAAATTGAGGGTTTCAATATTCGTCTCGTCGGGATATGCTGGTTGATGTATGTGTTATTAGCTGATGAATTTTACAAAAAGTTCATCAATTCATTTTCGAGTAATTAAAAACTATAAAGGATGGTTCTGTAGAGTTCCTCATAAGTCAAAAGTTTGTTTTTCTTACTTATATTCTCTGAAATTTAATAGCTTTTCCGTGCTGTTATTTTTATTTGCGTTGATATTTTATTTCATGCGGGGACGATTTTTCGAGGAATACGTGTATCATGCATCAATGATCAATTTTCTTCTCAGAACCCATCAGTTCTCGGTAATAAAATTGAGATGGAAATCACGCGGCTAGTGGAGCAAAACCCGAACCTTCTTCGACTCGGACTCTTCTTTGAGTACAATGACGCACAAAACCGAATTCTGACGCACCTGCAGAAAAACTGCGACAAGTGTGAGTTGATATTTTCCCCCTTTTTTACATTTTTCTTCCCTTCTTCTATTTTCTTCAAACTCCATCATGAATGAAACACTACTGTTATTCGCGCTTCTTGCGTTTCTTTCCTCAACTCTTTTTCGGTGACCACTTCAAATCCCGGAACTTGAAAACAATTAAAGGGGGGGGGGATGAAAGAAATACATCCAGACACACACAAAAATTAGTAATTTTAGACTGAATCCAAAGTAGGACGCATTTTGCTATTTTAAATATTTTTTTTGCGTGGGAGTGAAAGCAAATTCTTCAAAAAATATTTATTTAATATGAAGAGCATTTTTGTTCGAGGCAAATTTGCAAATTTATTTTCTCGCGGGCGGGTTTCAGCAAGCCGTGGAAAGTGGCCCCAGAACTTTTAATTCATTCAAAGTTTGTTTCAAACTCAGATACTTAGTCGTATGAATTTAGATTTTACCTGAATGTCGATTTAGCGGAACGAAAATTGGCGTGTGGGTTCAAGACGATTAGCGTCACTGTGTCAATCAGTTTATTGTTTTTCTATATAACCTCGTGTTCATTCCACACCCTCGTCATAGAAGTCAGTGCTTTTTTCTTCTGTGTCTTCTTTAATCCAATCCGCCTTGATTAATTCAGGTATTTAAAATGTAAGTTTTGACGAGAGGCAATGCTGAAAAGAAATTAAAATGAATTGAGTCGGAATGACATTCAGAGTACCAGCATATGTTTCTTCATCTTTAGGTGAAGACAATCTTTTTTTAAAGTCTCAGCTTATTAGGGTTCTGTGTGATTAATGAATTGTGACTTTGTAATAGGACAGTCATAAAGTTAAATAAGGGATGATAACGTCATATACAAAGATTGATGACATCCCAATATACTTGTGTGTGCAATCGACACTTTTCAAAATAATTCAGACAACGTTTGGCATTCATTTTTTAAATGGATGATTAATTTTTGAAATTTTGAAAATAGGAATAGAAAGAGAGATTTTGAAAAGTATTCTTTGAGAAAATGATTTACCCCGTGAGGACTGTTGAAGATGTTGAGGAATTTTGATGCACGTCAAATGCGGTACATTTGCTTGCTTTTATTGGTGCAATTATTTATTCAGCTTCCGTGATAAATATCCCTATAATGAAAAATATAATTTATATTAATTTCAATTTGCGCACTATAACAGAGGATGAAGTATTCAATGTTCCAAATGTTCTTATTGAGTTGAGATGAGACATTGATTGAATCAGTTTTGATTGGCAGACAATTTTTTAACCTTTTTTTCATGGAATTCTGATGAATATTTCTTCCATAAAAACACAAATTTAAAATTGTATGGTGTAAGTCTAATAAGGAAAAATGAGACTTGATTTAGCGCTTGTGCAGCGAAGTCAGGACATTTTTGCAAAATTTTGTGCCACAGGGCACTGGAAATGAAGAAAGAACCTACTTTTGTACCAAGGCCTAAGTTCGGAAAAAGTCTGATGTTTTTTTTTTTAATCCTGCAGAAAATTTTGAATGAAAAACAGAAAAAATCCCTCATTAAATGGCCTTTTTTCTTGCATTCCTGGCATAGGATTTGCATGGGAAAATCCTGAAACAATGGAAAATTCACCAGATACCTGGATTTTTCCCAACTTAAGCCTTAATTCTCAACCTAGGCACATTTCTGTGACCTTGGGTCAAACTGAAATATGTACTCCGCCTGGAAAAATCCCAACTTTGCCACCCAAGGAAAAAAGAACCCTCTGCAGTCCAAGGATTCTATTTATTACATCAGAGATTTTATTTTTTGTATCTTTTTTCTGAGCATTTTTTTCAAATAGGGACATTTCAACTTCTAGTGACAGTCCTGATGCACCAATTATGTCCACATCCAGAGGGTTTCACACTGTTACATCATAAAGTTTTTTTCTCATTTTCTTCCCGAAGCTTTAAATTTCAGTGCAGAATGGTGTATATAGAAAGGCCAGGGAAGAAAGATATGCGGAGTTTGGACTGGAGTTCTTGTCCACCTTGGCTTATGCGTCCGGAACTCGTATTTTTAGACCAGTTCATCAACGCAGCGGATGAGGGCCCTATAGTCACTGCTGCCCATTGCTCTTTCTTCACGTTTTGTTGGCATGCGTTTTCATGTAAAAATCCGGATATGCACTCTGCACTGACTCAAGAATTATAACTAAGACTGTTTTGTCGAGTATTTTGCGAAAACTTTTACATTTTTGCCTCGTTCAGCATGAGGTATAATATGAACTTGATCCTTTTCATCGTCAGCGATAAGTCCAGCATTTCAAGGAGTCTGTTCCGCGGGTCAGTGGACTAAAAAAAAAAAAGAAGGAATTATTCCTTTGTTCCAACACCTCGTTTACCACAGAATATTTCTAAATAGAGTAGAACTATGTATGAGGAACAGAGTTGTTAATCGAATCAACAATTTAATTGCCAAGTCACAATCGAAATTCGTTCAGAACATGGTTGCCCAATAATAATGACTAGTATCACCATCATCGCAAGCTTTCAATTTTCGGATCGTCGAATCAGCATCAAAACGGATTTTTGCATAAATTTGCCCAATTTTCAATCACTACGGCAATTATAATTCGTTTCACCTTATACAGTTCCAAAATCTGCCATTACATTCACTGCTATAATTTTCTACTGTATGAAAATCAACTCTATCAATGAGTCACTCATCCTGTTGATGCGTGAAAATATAAGTATAATGTACCGAAAAGATCTCGTGTGAGAACAATCAACAAACCTGGTGAAGAATAATTAATATTTTTAATAAAAATATTTGTATTGTTGTGAGCGTTGGTTTTCTGTGTTTCTATCGAATTTATTTGCTATGATGTGTTCTAGAAAAGAAAAAAACTCCTTATATGCATAGATTTTTTTCGTGCTTCAGCAAAGGTAAAAATCAAAAGAAACCCAACTTCATATCTTTGTCGCTGTTCATGATTTTGCGATTTTCACTTTCTGAATTCAATGCTTCCGTTGTTCTTTGTGAGGATACTGCTTCAAAAGAAAATCGTGAAAATTCGGTTCAGTTTAAGAAGAAAAACCTTATTTGTTCTAGGATAAATATGTTTTCGAGAATTCTGATTTACATATATGGTCGGAGTTTAAGAACAATGTGCAAATTTCTTCGCATACATTCAGAAGATGGAATGTGATTTATTTTTCTCAGCTCATCCCACGTTTTATATTTGCTTATCCTAGCTGTCTCACACCCGTTGACATTGAGACAGCTCGTGTTTTTTGTCGCGTCTCTTTCCGGGATGTTCCTCGAAACATGTAGCTTCTTTGTTTGAAAAAAAAAGGTTTAAAAAAATTAAAAGAATTTCTTATTCTGTTCCTCGCTTTTTTTGTGTGTGTTGTTTACGCTTTCCGGTCTGTCACCGCGAACGTGGTGATGGTATCATCTTGCGAGCTTCTTCTTCCGCCACCGAATCCCCACTATATTTACAACCAACACCAGTGTATTTGGAAATACCATCTCATGAAATTCTCCTTCCTGGTTTCTGTTTAAAAAATTTTATTTGACGTCTTCCAGGAAGTTTTGAAGATATTTTTTTCCGGGGTGAACCAGGAACTTGTTTTTATTTTAACCGGGAAATTTTCGTGGGATTTATTTTGCTTTGTATGTCTCATAAGTGGTAGGAAATTGAAATTTTTGTAATTTTCAGTAAATTTACACATATGGCTTCGTCAGATGATTTAGTGATCGTGTGTAAGGTTAATGAGGTTACAATTCTTTCAGTACTGGTTGATTTCACGAGCGCCTATAATTTTGATATCGTCTGTTAGCAGGTTTATTGTGACGTGGTACGTGTCATGTGAATCGTTCTGTAAATTTATGTTTCTCAGTATTCGGGGTGATTTCATGAGTCTATAAAACCCGCAAACATGTTGATACAGGAATTTAAGAGTTGAACGCATATAAATATAATTTAGGATAGATGAAAGTTGGGGCACTGTGAAATCTTAGATAAAATCCTGGCGTGATAACAAGATCGACTATTATTGTACCTTACAATATTCTGCTTCTAGGAAACAAAAATTTGTGGCTCTTTCAGAAGAAAAATGTCGGAGTGATTCATTCTTACCTTGAAAAACTAATCTGACTAACCCCTTAGCTTTCGAAATAGCCAATGCTGTGAAGCCAAACCTGAAGATGTTCTCAAACAGGTAAAATTTGAGGTTTGAGTCAATTTTTTTAAATGAGCTTTTTTATGAGATAATTTGGAGAAAAAGACATGAAGGGTTACACGATTATGTGTGAAGAAGGTTCTTGTTGTTGTTCCGGGAAAGCTGTTAGGATAAGAGATATTTTAAGATTTTTTCGAAAATAAAAATGAAAACACCCGGCAATCAGCTGGGATGTGGCTGGGGTAAGTAGTGTCCTGTTGATATATTCAAGAATCGCAAGTATTTTCAAGACAATCAGCAAAAATGGTTCTCAACATCTTTTGCGTGAGACTGCCAAACAAGAACTTGGCCCCAAAACAAGGAGTAATTGTCAGGGAATATTCTTGATTCAAAAACTCCTTGTTTTGGGGCCAGTTCTTGCTTGACAGTCTAAACGCAAAAGATATCAAAAACCACTTTTTGCTAATTGTGTTGCAAATACTCACAATTCTTGAATACATCAACATTATACACTAGGGTGTTAAGCACCCTGCCTCTGCAGGACAGCTGATTACAGTGTTTTTTTAATTTTCTGAAAACCTTCAAATATCTCTTATCCTTACACAAAAAGTGGTGGCAGAGCGTGGTTTGCATCTTTGAAAAAGTGTTGAAAGTTTAAAAGCATACTTTCAAAAATCCATCTCCTACTCTTAAAAATTGGAATCAAGCAGAAGCTTCAAAATTCAACAATATTTTACTGAACATTGTAAGGCCTGTTTCAACGCACGGATCAAAAGGGTTGAGCATTGTGTACAAATTTGTGGTGATGACATTAAGAAGGTACAGTATCTACCTAACTTCTTGGAACTAGTGAACTTGAGAAAAATGTACAATACATGTATTTAAAAAAATCCCTGGTGTTCAGCAGATCATTTAACCCTTGGACAGTATGGAGGGTTCTTTCCCATAGTGGAACGGCGTTGGATTATTTTTGTATCCTCCCGCATTTTCAGATTTTTGAAGGTCAGGAAAACCCTTCCAGGTGGGCTGAGGCAAATTTGGGATAAATCCAAAATAAGCGGGTAGCCTAACTGAGCATTTTTTAAATTTTCCCACAAAAATTGTCTGTGCCCAGGGAAAAAGACACTGGGATTTTCCTGGAATTTGCCCTCAACCCCCTGTTGACATTTTTTTCGTCACCTCTCTGAGATGCAAGCCCTGCAACAAAATTTTGCAAAAATAGTCCAACTTTACCACCCAAGGGTTAAAGTCTGCGCCGGAACGATTCTGCACGGGAACGTGTAACCCCTCATACAGGTGGCGGTGGCAGGGCTAAGCTTTCCCTCATAAACCTTTTTTTCTTAAAATAAAATAAGCTCAAAGTTAATTTTATTCTGACAAAAATATCTCAGATTGAACCAATTTTTTTTATTCTGACGGGAAAGTCTTCGTAAATCTGAGGCGAATAAATTTTTTCTTTGTGCGTGTGACTGTGTAAGAAAAGCTACACTCAATAGCGAACGTATCCTTTAATCTATCTCTCCACGATGAATTTGGCACTTCGACAGAATGAAGTACATTGTATTTTGAAGGATCAGTATCACATAAAAGTCTAGAATAAATAAGCCGTGCAATCCGAACGATGCCAAAGTTTTACGTTGCTGATTTTTAGCAAGATGCCATCATATGGCCTTATTATTGTACTTCCTTGACAATACGGAGCACGAGGCAACTTTATTTTTGCTGGAAAATTTGTGATTCGATTCATAAACGCGGATATCAGGCAGATGAAAAAATACTGTGATCTACTGTATTGTAATCGTGAATTTTCAGCTGATGCACCAATCTACATACGAGCAGGGTTGAAAAATATTTATATTACTTTCCTGTCCTAAATGTATGTTCATAGGAATACTACTTTCCTAACACACGCACGCTTTTTGATAATAACTTAATCGTGTGATATTCATCATTTATACGATTGATATGATGTCCATTTTGATGAATTTAAGTTCAACTTGGTCTTGGATGATGAATTTTTGAAAAATTCTCCTGGTACATAAAGCACGGAATCCATTCGGTCTTATTTGAAATGAAAAGTGTCAATGGCTTCCAAGGTTTTTTTTATTCATTAAGTACAATACGTATTGTATTTTATGCTGTAAAAAATTCATCCTCTTTTTCCTTGTTCTCTTTTGATCCAAAATTTACCTTCATCAGAATCGATTAGAATAATTTTTTAATTTTCAGCTATTCAGAGGCAATTTTAGCATTCGCTTTGTCTTTCCACTCTCATTATTTTTCAACCCCGGGTATCTAAAAAAAACAGCTTAAGATGTAATAAAAAAGGTATCATAAAAATTGGACGCAGTTTAAAATTCAGTCAGGTTACGCGTCGAGTATGCCTTTGTCTTCGATTTCAAGCCGGTTTATTGTGTCAATATTTTGAAAAATAATTGAAGGTGCAGTGTTGCATTTTTCGTGCGGAATTTTCTTTTTGAGTTTAGTACAGTATGAATAAGTTTTTTTTTTCAAAGACAAACGTGAAAGAACGCACGCCAATTTTCAGATTTTCAATTTTAATTTCTTCAGAGATTTTTTTAGGTGAGGAAAAAAGGGGAAAAATTCTCTGTCGATGCTTTTGAAAAATTTAAGGATTATTTATTGCTGTTGGACGATAAGATTTGTAAAAAAATTGACTGTGGACTTGGTCACTATGAGAAAAGGACGTCATGAAATGAATATCTTGTCAGTTTATGTCCAATTGTACACGCAGTAATGTATCGAAATCTTATTCTGTATAATTAAACTTTTCCCGAAAATATGTGTTAATGAGTCAAAATGGACGAGAAGAAAATGTGATTAGCTGCATGACTTCACTCGGACTTCGCTTATTGTGATTTGAATTGTTAAATGTTGCTTTTTCGTTGAGAGACGTTATTTGGTTTGAAAGTGAAATTTCCTAGAATTCGACATTACAGTATTCTGAATTCGTCTTCCGATACTAGGCCCACAATTTTTACTGAAGTTCCATCAAAATGTTATTGGAACAAATGTTATAATGAACATCACTTTGTAAACAGATTTTTGTTTCCGCTGAAAATGGTGCAATATTTGGCACGAGATGAAAGTGTTCAAGCGAATGGATCTGAGCAAAAGCTTTTGTAAAAATGCATTGCTTTCCCAACTTGAATATAACCAGTTGAAATTTAAAAAAAATTCCTGCGCTTTATAACCAGATTAATCGTTTTTTTATTGCTGCTGAAATTTCAATTTATCTGCACGGAAAGAGTGCATCTTGTTTGCATTTTGATTATAGTTTGAAAAATTTGAATAGTCTAGTATTTTTCGCCAGGCCCAAAGTTGAAATCTTGAATCGTTGAATACTTGTTTTTCAATTGCTGGGACTTATTATTAATTGAAAATCACCATTGGAATTCCAAAATGTTGCATTCGTAGTCCATCAACCTTCGAAAGTGCAGAAAAGTTTGGGAAGTCCTCGTGAGGGGGGAAAAGCTTCCTGTGAATAAATATAAAAAAATACTGCAATAAAGATGTACAAGTTTACGCAAAAAACGTTTACTATTTATTCGAAATGTTAGCATTGAACACAATTTTCTGCTGATGTGCATGCTCATTAAAAGTTTGCTGAACCAAGAAAAAAGGATGGATTATTGCTGTAGATTGAGTGCAAATTTTTTTTTTCTTTGGCCACTCGCGGCGCTGAAATTCTGCCTTTTGGCTCCGCGAAAAAAAAAATTATGAATTCTCCCGCAGAAATTATTATTTAATTTGTTTCATAAATTTGGTATCATCGCGATAATGTCTTACTACTACTACACTCATTGATCTTCCGGTATTTTGTGTCACCCTGCTGAAAACTAATCAAGATTACTTCTCTTTTTCTCTTTCTTTCACTTTTCCTTCGTATTCTTTGCTCGATCCACGTACACACGACACATGACATTGTCACACGTGCACGTGTCGGATCGTGACTTTATTTGTCGTGTGTGGGCTATTTTTATTGCCAATTTCTGCGTGTGCGTGTGTGCGTGTGTTTGCATGCGTTTTTTTCCATTGAATATTCGCATGGCAAATTACGAAATGAATATATATGTATAGGGATGAGACAACAGAGGTTGATTGAAAGTGTCAGTGTGTCGGAGACGATAGTTTTGCCCGGCAAAAACGCGTACAAAGAAGAAGATGAGCAGCGAGAAAAGAATGATGATGATGCTGTTGCTGCTGGAGGAGTTGAGCAAATAACTGCTGGTGTAGAAGAAGCTAAGACTGAAGATCCCACAGAATAATGAAAACAAAAGAAAAAATTGATAGCATAAATTTTCAAGTCTATATATTCGTGGGTCTTTTTTTTCATCTGGCTGACCGAATAGATTAAGAGATACATGGAAAGGTTTTATCTATAGTTGACAGTTTTACTCGATACTTTCTGAATATGAGGGCTTCATTTTCGCGTGTTTCTGTTTCATAAAATTGCGCATTTTAATTTGACTGAAATTGCGATACATGCAATTTTTTCCCGGCTTCTCGAATTCACAGGCTACAGCAGTCTATAAAAGTTTGCGTGGCTTATTTTTCCTCAAATTCAATGACATTTGTCTTCAAAATTAATTAAATGGTATCTTTTGTCTTCAAAATGGAATTTAGTTGTCTCAAACTTGTATTATTTTTCATCAAAACAAACTTTTTGTCTTCGAAATTATTTCTTTAATTTGTAAGCTTATTGCTGATCATCTTTGAAAAATTACTTTGAAATGTGATCGTCTTGAGCCTGACCATAATTTTAGAAAATGAGAACATGTTTAGTATTTAAATTGAAGTTTGTTCTAAAGCCTAGTTTTTAGAATTTCAAATGGTCTAACGAAATTGTGAACCCTTGTCTCGTTTTGGCAGTTGGAATAAAAAATTTCGATTCATGTTAAATCATCCTTTTTTTTCAATGCGATGCTTTTTTTTAATAGCGTGTATGTTGCATTAGATTAAATCTTTACCAGCAATTGGAATGCTTTGTCGATGTAAGTTTGTGTTCTGAAATTTGTAAGATATCAAATTATTTGACACCTTCCTGTTTTGAAGTGAAGGTGCTTAGTTTGTTCTAGAAGAAAAGTGGGCTGAACGGGTGGTATTCTTTGGGAAAACGATTGGTTTTAAACTTGATGGTGATTTTAGATCGTTTTGCATTTTTTCTTTCAATTTTAAAGTGCGTCAGTTTGTTCTAAAGTTAATTGAGTTTGTCGGGTGGAATTTTCTAAATGTCCCGTTTCGAATTGAGAATTTTATAGATTGGCAAAAAAAATCACCGTCTCTCCCGATTAAAGAAAGTTCAACGCTGGTAGAAATCATTCTTTTGCGGAGAATTATTCAAAGTTTGTGTTCTTCAGGTGAATTGAAGTCGTATTTTTAGAATTCTACTGATTGCTACAATAATTGTGTCATGATGATGGGATAATGTTTGGTTCACCTGCCATTTATTGTGATAGAGTCGAACAGGATCGATGGAAAAATTAAATCCTGCTTTGCATCGAAGCTTTTTTCCCCGAATGTGGAACTCCGGCTTTCGTTTTTTTTTTTTGGCCTTTCAATTTTTTGAAAATAATTTATCCGTGTGTCAAGTCCCGTGGCTTTGGAAAATGTAGGAAATGTGACGTGAACAAAGCAATAAAATGGATTC